CGTCTGCATGCCACTAAATTCATTAACACACTGTTGATTAAATCACAGACGAAAATTAGAAAAATTGTAAATAAATATTTATCAATCCTATTATTGATAAGCTTGAATTTTGTAATGACAGAATTAATGTTTAGACAAATTTTCAGATATTCCAACTACATTCGGTTCTGGATGAATTCCAAGAAAAAAAACTTATTAATTACAAATTTTTTGAAGCTAGACAATGGCGATAATAGTTTCATTGAACTTACATGTATGGAAATTCTCCATCTTGAGCGGTTTTTCCATTTACAATTTTGAGAGGAGGGTGTTGGGGTTTGGCAGTTACTGGAAAAAAATACAGATTATTGAAGCGAAGAGAAAAAATATATAACAGACACTTAGTAGCACATTACATCGTTTTACTTTGGCTATCTCTAGCATTTTGGGGAATCTCATCTATTAACTTTTCCTTTGTTGTTACCAGTACCCCGTTACTGTCCTTCTCTTTTATATATTATATTTATATATAAATAAGTTTATGAAGGATATAGGGGGATATTTCAAATTGAAAAAAATATATAAGGTACCTGACCCAAATAAGGCCATGTACCTAATAAGGCCAGTGCTCCTTATTGCTTAATATTGAATCCCATCTTCAAAAATTACAATATTATTAAAAAACATATCTATAATGCAAATCAAAAATTATTGCGAGGATTTCTAGCCACTCGTTATATGTCGAAAAATGGCCAACCACAGATTTCATATGTCACGTTATAACTTTGAGGCTGGAACTTAATTAGTTTATACACATGTTCATAAAGTGAATGGAGCGAATGTAACTTTTACACGGACATTTATGTATTGAGAAAGCTACAGAGTAAGTACAGAATAATATCTTTGCTAGATTTCTAGTAACAGACTTTTTTTTATCAATGTAACATGTTCTTAATAAGGCCACATGAAAAATGTTCAATTGGCCTCACATCACAGTGTTTTTTTAAAAAGAATGTGTCAAATTATTACTTAAGTGATGTGTTTTAGAGCGCCTATAGTCTAACCAAGCAAGAAAAGCTGCGGTTCATTTGTCCTAATTGTATGTAGACCTATTTGGATCACCATCCCAGGACTTAAAATTAATGTTTTTTTAGAATGCAGCAAACGTTAAAGTTCTATTTTGGGTACTTTTTGTCAAAAAATAATATTTTTATAAATGATTGCATTTATTTTAAACATTTTTTATTGGTGGCCTTATTAGGAGCATAGTGATCCAAATAAGGCCAATGGTAAGGGTCTTTATTTTACGCAAAAACCACCACTTATATGTGAAAATAAATAAATTGGGGTTAATATTCAAGTAATAGAAGCAAAACACTTCACATATAAGCTCGTGATTTTTGTTGGGTTTGGTGGATAGTGTTCGGAAAAAATAAAACTTCTTAACATGGCTTTATTTGGGACAGGTACCTTATATATATATTTAATTCAAATATAAGTGCCTACCTTCATTGAGAATAACAGCAAATATTAAAGATAAACCAATAGCACAGACTAACTTAATCATGTTTGCCATTATCTGTACCTACCTATACCTACAAAATAAACACAATAATTTCCTAATTTATAGGATTAGTAAGTAAGGATAAAACACTTGATACTGTCATTACTTATTAATTCTAAGGTCAGTGACGCTTTAACCTTTCTCTGGCCCGTAGGTCAATTATTTGGTATGGCCTTTCATGAGTGATTGTTCTTTTTTATGGGGTTAAATAAAATCATCCAGACGGCTTAGCGCAAACACTAAAGCAAGCCGCACATTGAGACGCAGGTGACACAGGCGACGCAGGGCAGGGCAGGTTGACACAGTTCAAAAAAAGTACGTGTCAGGCCTTGTGAGCGCATATTCGAAAGCAGTTTTGGGCAGTTCCTGTGATATAGTTTTGAAGTGCGAGTGCGAATACAGATATACAAAGATCTCTATTTTTTATTTTGAACGTGGCCATGGCTTTCTTTTTGGATAGTTCCGAGTCAGTGTCGGACGCGGAATTTGAAGAAACAGTTCTATTATACAACATTCTAAAGAGGAAAAAATCATTTTGGAAAATCAACTATATGAAAAGGAGAAATATACTCACGTTCGTTGGTGTCATAAAGAGTGGTATGATCCCTCACCAATTCAATCAATTGTTTTTCCATACCTATTAATATTTATCATACACTTAAATAAATAAACTCGAGGAAACCGCTAATCAAAATGCAAAACTTGTAGGCACGTGGCGCAGGAAACTGTGTCCGGAACACTGCGTCACGCAGGTTTATTCGGATATAGTTCTGTGCTGTCCTACACTGCGTCCCAATTTGCGAGTCAAATTGTACTGAATACAGAAACCTGCACTGCCTTGTCCTGCGTCGTCTATGTCACCTGCGTCTCAATGTGCGGCTGGCTTAACAGGTTCCTGCGATAGTAGTCGTTGCCACTGTTGCCAGTTGCCACGTGCCTGTGCTGCGCTTATGACTCGACGGCGAGTCAGCGCAGCTTGGTGACTAAGGACGTGATCCGGATTGATGCTCGATGGAGCGAGCGGAGTGATTCCAGAGCATCGTGACGGCAGGGCTTCAGGCAGTGCACTCTGGCCAAACCAAATTCGCTTGTGCAGTGTGAATTATAAGAATTAAAGAGTTTTGAAATATGTGCTAGTCCTGCTACTGAACAAGTCGATGCATTTAATATAGTGGGCTTTTATATTTTATATTATAAATTAAAGGCCAGCAGTTGGCCTTCCATCCTCTAGTGGCCCGTAGGACATGACCTAATTGTCCTAACGGATAAAGTGTCCCTGTCTAAGGTCCATATCAATAATAGAATGATAGGATATAGGTAAGTAGCGCGATTTTAAGAAGCACTTGAACACATTTTTCAACTTAATCTCATATTATGGCGTTTGTCTGATTCAACGCAGATAGCTGGAAGATATATCGGAAAATTCACAATTTCCGGAGAAAAAAAAATTAAAAATATCCGGTGCAAGTTGTGAACCTTCGATATCTTCATGGCATTGGAGTACCAGCAGTCAGGCTTCCGCATCTCGTCATCGGGTTGCAAGTAGCGAGGCTTTCCTACCTTCATATCATGATAGCACAACTGTTGCCAGAACGCTTCCACCTATCAATATTGCTAAGGCTCCCAACTGTACCTTTAATTTAAAAAATGTATATATGATAATAAAAATTTGGAAAACTAAAATGTTATTTCTTTCTATCCATTCTTTGAAAATAAATATTGAGGGTGGACTCTCAGATATTATTGAATGAGCAACATGCCTTAGGAATTTCCTGCCCCTTTTGAGCTGGATAAAGAGCTAGGTACTAGAGAAGTTGCCGCCTAGTTTTCCGAGTGGATAATCTCAAGTTTTCTGAGATTACGATACCTTCCAGAGTTGCACATGGTTCTAACATCGATCTATTTTTTTTTAACTTGATACATTGATAATGTTTCGGCTTGTTTTCGATCAAGTAAATTCTTGCTTCTCACTGACAACATAAAGAGGTTTGGCGTGATCAATATCTCAGTCAGATTTCTTGTCATTCAGGTAGATCTAGACTCTAGACATACACATTTGCTTTCCGGTTTAGTGGGAATGGGTTGGCCGTTATTATCACAATCACTGGATGCATGGAAATTTGGGTTTCGCTGAGAATCTGTGAAGTTTTCAAATTTTGTATAAATTAGGTAACGTGCTGATTGAAAGTCCAAATAACAAAAATTTCCTAACCCCCGTAGCATGCCTTTTATAATCTCTCCAGACCCTTTCTAATCTATACAAAACGTTTATTGATTGATTTGTTCATTATTTTGGTATATTTGTAGATACATATTTGTTTTTTGCAGTTCTTGTTTCATGGCTGATGCGGTGCAGTGTAAAAATTTCTAGGAAGGAGATAAGATAACAGAATAAATTGGGAAGCCGACTTATCGTGAAAATGGCAATACCTGCGCATTCGCCAAATCCATAGCGATTCTCAAAAATTCGCTTAGCTGCATTTAAATAAATGAGAGCCTTTGATCTACCTGGCCCTAATACACACCTGAACAAACAAGCTGTAAAAAACGTATACAAAAACACCAAAATAATAAGCAAATCAATCAATAAATATTCTGTATAGATTATAAAGGGTCTGGAATAGGAGGGCCTGTAAAAGGCATACTACGGGGTTTACGAAATTTTTGGCATTTGGAGTTTTAATCAGCACATTAATTTATACAACATTTGAAAATTTCCCAGATTTTCACCGAAACCCAAAATTACATGCATCGCGATGCGGGGTCCTTCATTTATTTGTCAAGATTGTGATACTTTCGGAACTTTCATTACATGTTGGATGGACTCTTCCAGTATTAGGTACGTTGAGAGACGTTAGTATTATCCATGACTTATCTATTTCGTTGAATCAAATATTTTGTGTACTATTATGAAATCATTGAGAATGCTTGGGTTCACCAAGCGTCGTACTGGCTGGTTCTAGGTTTTTTTAGTCTGCACTCGCTCAAAATTCAAAATACTTTATGCGCTCTGGTGAGGACCTATATGCTTTATGTGCTAATTATACTTCTCACATGAAAAGAGTCGAACAGGTACAGAAAAGGTTTCTTGGGCATTCCAACAACATTGCCCTCACTTTTGTTGTCTTGTTTTGGTCTAAATATTCACCTCAGAATCACGAGTGAATTGATTTGCAAATAACTCGACAACGAATATAGATGATGAATAGTGGTTCGTATCAACAAGCTATATTCAAGATAAACAAAATATAAATTGACGCAAAAACCATTGAGGTTTAGATTCACGTTATCAAAATAGGACACATACAGATTTTTCGAAAAAAAGAAAAATAGATTTTTAGTTACCTATATCGTAGTAAATACGCCCAAGACATTAGCTGTCATTTTAGTATAATAATACGTAAATAATATTTTAATCTCAAATTCCAGTATTTAAATTCAAGGTAAGCTGGTGTAGTCAAACGACTGTAAGTTCCTGGATGCCGCACGGGTTAAAAGACCAAGAAACCACGTCATATTGGAGTCCATTGATAACAAAGGGACTTCCAGAATCACCCTAAAAATAAAACAAATAAATTGGCAAAGTAAATAAGTACTTTGGCTTAATGAAATAAATTGATTCTTACAAGACATTCTCCATTCCAGTAATTATCACTACACAAATTATGAGTACTGTTAAACATATCCTCACCAATATAATCTCTAATTTTTCGACTGTATTCTGTATCGCTAAAAAGATACCAATTGATTTTTTGTGAAGTTTTCATGTGATCCCCTCGTTGTCATTTAAACCCCATCCAGAAAGAGTACCGTTTTGGTGAAAAAGTACCTGAGCACCAGCATTAGCCAATTGGATAGGTTGAGCGTAGGCATTGAATGGAATGGCGCGTTCAAGCTAAAATTAATTTTTTTTGTGTTAATATATTTCTTTCTACGACCTCGCGTAAAATTATCATCAGATATTTTCCTCTCTTCTCCCGTACCTACATATTATTGCGTTTGTCAGTTACCTAACAAGTGCGGAAAATTAATTTTTCCGCACGCGGCTGCCGTTCACCGAACGACGCGTAGCGGAGTTCGGTGAAGCAACCACCACAAATGTCAACAACGCACTAAAGAAGATCGCAAGACTCGACTAGAGTAGAGTGGAGGGGTGCGTTCTTAGGTAGCCGTGTGGTTGCTTATCCTTGTCTTGTATAAGAAGTTGGAAAAGGACACTCAGTTATTGGTGGTAAGTAGAAGATTTGGGGACGTTTAGTGTGATCGCGACCAAATGTTCTCCAACAATAATTTACTACGCCGAGCAATGTGGTGTTTATAATGTGCATCAATGTTGGAGCAAAACAAACAGGCACCTTGTCCTGTCTCTACAGAATGTAGGTATATAGTCTAAGGTTTATAATATAGCATTATTGAAAAATGTGTCAAATTTGATTTGCCAGGTAGGCCAGAAAATTTTAATACCGCGGCACTTACGAAATTATGTAAACCACACTTAAAACTGTCTGGAATTTGAAATATACTGTCATTATTATACAAGGGTCAACCTGCCAAATTTCCATAGCACGCCACTACGCCAATAATAAGTGAAAAAGGTATACTGTTGGACACTTGAACTTATATATATACAGATTTTTAGGCAAAATCCAATCCTATCGCCCCGTATATCATATCCCTATGGTCCTATGAGAAATTTACGGCTTTATCCGGGAAAAACAAGCTATTAAAATCCACAAACCGCGTTAAAAAAATTATTCGTGTTGAAAATATGAAACTTTGAATGTTGTCTAAAAATCTGAATGCTTATGTGAAAGTTCGAGTGTTCAGCAGTTTAGTTGTGTTATAGATTCATAACCTTGTCAATAACATCACTAGTTGTGTTATGAATTCATTACCTAGTCCATAACACCGCTAGTTGTGTTATGAGTCTCATGACATTACTGAAATACTAGAAAAATGGTTATGTAAAAACGTCATAACCAAATGCTTGTAGATAATAGTTATTTGTGTAACCAGTTGGGAAAAGCACTATTTTTCGTAACGAGCAGATTTCTGCGGAACGAGCGAAGCGAGTTTCGCAAAAGAAAGCGAGTTACGAAAAATAGTGTTTCCCAACGTGTTTCACACAATATTTTTTTTCTCCAAACGTCAGAAAAACGTCACTTTGTTAACCCCTGTCAAGATGTCAGAAATCTAATTTCTATGCTGCTAGGTAAATCCAGCGGGTTAACACCTGTCGAGGTGGTAGAAATTTAATTTCTATGCTGCTTGGCAACCCCAGCGGCAGCAAAAGTACTTTTAGTGCCGCTGGAGCGGCAGTAGAAGTACTTTTAGTGCCGCTCGTACTTTTACTGCCGCTCAACCATTCAGATACCCCTGAGCTTACACCATTCGTTTGGAGAAAAAATAGCGTGTTGCATACGGAGTAGAAGCTCTTTTTTGTGCTTCAGCAGTATTGCAAGCCTCACTACGTTCGGCTCGCAAACCTACCGCTTCAGCACAAAAAAGTGAAGCTTCTACTCCTAATACAACAATATACTATTCTAATTTTGTATATTATGATCTGATCCATTCAAATTCGAGTCAAAATCATAAAAAATGTCCCTTCTATAATTATTTCTAAATCGTTAATTAAGTTTAGAGATATTTCCTATTCCGTTGCTATGGAATGCATGCCAGTATTGTTTATCGTCAAGTTTGGCGACTCAAATCGGTCATTGCATTCGGCGATCATCGACTACCTACTCTGCTTGTAGATTCTGTAGATGATTTGCTGAGAATTAAATACCATGGGGGTGGAAGCCTAATACAGCCGCTAAGGGCTATGTGGAATATTTCATAACTATTATAAGCAGAAAAATGTCACCAACATCCTTATTGGAGAGACTTCCATAGGAGAAACATTCAACTTATTAATTTAATTAATGCTATACAAAAACTATGTTGTCAATATCATCAATAATTGTTCAAATTGTGTTAAGTATTAATATTTATAGCTAATCAGTTTTTTTTCCATACGTTGTCATTTTATGTAAATAATTTGAATAAAATTAAATCTTCCTTATGGACGTACAAAGAATATAATAACAACAAAGTACTTCAAATAGTTCAACACTCGTTCAGCACCAAAAGTATCACAGATTTTGTTCCTGTATATTTTGCAATTAATGGTGAAATTTACTTTTCATCACCAGTTGCGAAAAATTTTACTTTTCGTAACTGGTGATGAAAAGTAAGGCATTTGATAACGTCAACGAGTTTTGAAAAGTGTCACTTTAAATGTCAAAATTAGAAAAAATGTATTTATAGTACCTCAATAATGCCAACATCAAAATATTGGATTGTTCCGTTATAAGCAAATAGTGGATGTGCATGAGCCTTTTTTTTTAATCTTTATTGAGGTGTTCAAATGTTTAGCTCCAGCCAAGGCGTTGGTACCGTATACGACGTGTCCACTGAAATAACAAACAAAAATTAATTTGAAAATAAAGAGAAAGTTAAGGACGATGCACACTTTAGATGGGATTTTAAAAAATCCAGGATTTTAATGATATTTTGGTGTATTGTAGATCTCGATCTACTGATCAAAAGTTCTTTTAGGCCCAAGAGGATCCTATGACTGGTTTCCGAAATACAGTGGCGGGTATGGGGCTACCCAGAAATCCGAATAAATAGAAATTCTTTCACAAAAGGTAAACTTTAATACAAAAAGTTATAAAGACTACGTTTATTTCACGCGTTGTATCCGGATACTAAAGTGGATTAGATTAGGGTGGAAATATCCATAATTAGTTTCACTCCCTTAAACCACCCCCAAAGTAATTTGCAAGTCAAGTGAGGTTCCCTAAACGGTGTATATTGGTACTGCCTATAACTTTAGTACCCCTAAAAATTATTTGACAGTCTTTTTAGTACGTGTATTTGCCTATAACTTCCAGGGGGGGTTTATTTGAAATCCGTGCAAATCTGTCACATGCGACGCAGTCGGTCGAAATATGTGCGTCGACGAATTCGGAAAATTCACGATCGGCTTATTTGAAAGCTTGTGCATTTTGTAAATCGTGAATTTTCAAATTTGCACTACTCAACTTGGCAACGTGTCCTGTAAAAGATTCTAGCCAATGACATTGTTAGAAAATTTCATATGACCAAACGGAACGATGCATTGAAATGTCAAATTTGAAATTGTTTAATGTAAACCACTTTTTTGATTATTTCCGTGCATACAGTTTCGTGTTTAGTTGGAGTTCTGTGTTTTTTTTCTTGATATTATCTTAGTTTATTCTTTCTATAAGTGTAGGCAATACCGCAAAAAGGATGGAAAGTGCGGGGGCAAGTGCCAATAAGAGAAGGTCCGGATTTGTTACCAAAAAACAAAAAGAACTCTTGGTCGAATTTTTGCACAAATATCCGGCCCTTTTATCGGGAAAATTTTCGAACTGCTTTTCATGGAAGGAATTTCGAAACATTCTTTTGAAAGTCGAAAGTTTTTTATAAATTCCCTGTCACCACCTAAGCATTGTTAATGTATGCATCTATTCTTGGATTTTTGAAGCCTTTGCGGTTATGGTTATACAATTCGGCCCTTTTTAGAGCATTTAAGTTAACAATATTTTCGAATTCCATGAGGCCAAGAATATTCTTGGTCGACTAAACTTAAATTTTTAATAAACTTTCGCGTGCAATTTGGAAATGCACGAGCTCTAGAGGTGACGCATGTCAAATGCAATCTTGCGTCGACAAATTTAGCGAAATGCGTCGACGAAAGTTTCAAATAAGCCACATGTGCATTTTTTTGTATTTCACCGGTGAAAATTGCGACTTAGTCAGACGTATTTGAATTGCACGTTTCAAATAAACCCCCCCACAGTACCCCGAAAGTAATTTGCAAGTCAAGTGAGGTTCCCTAAACGGTGTATATTGGAACTGTCTATAGCTTCCAGTACCATTTGTACCCGAGACTAGGGTGGAAATGTTCATATTTTCACAGAAAACTTTTTTTCGATGAATCGCAATTATTAGTTTTACCCCCTTAAACCAGCCTTTAAGTAATTTGCAAGTCAATTGAGGTCCCCAAAACGGTGTAAAGTGCGACAAGTGAGTGAAACTGTGTGGAACCCAAGCAACACAAAATTGTTTAATATACGTATAATTTTTGTTTATACCACAAGTATATTTATGGTTTACTATTGCCTGCTATAATAGGTTAAAATGTCCGCCTGATATAGGTCGATATGTACCATAATTATGTACCAAATATAAACGTATACAAGATATGTTTATGAGGTTATGGTATAAAACGTATATATTTATCATAGAATTAACGTTAATTTAATTGTTATGATGTACTTATAATAAATGTATAGAAATTATGTTTAATAATTTACTATTTAAAACGTGTATATTTGATTTAAAACTTACGTTATTTCAATTGATATAATACACCAATGATAATTGTATATGTGATACGTTTAATAATCATATTATTATACGTTATTATTTGATATAATTTAAACATTGAATTATAAACTATATCATACGTTGAAGCAACGAATTTGATAAAGTTTATATTGTTCTTTATCAGTAACGTTTAATTAACTAAAATAAATGAAAGAGTTCATTTATGGAACAAATAATATATTTCGAAAAGTTATTGCATAGTTATTACAAAAATGTCTCCTGCCGTGATGCCCACTTGGTCCTCTCCTTGGAAGTAAATTTTTGTAGCTTCTGAAAATAATTACATATTATAAGTGAGTTATTTTCCATGAGGGTCACTCATGGCAGTGCAACTATACGGTATTAATACGTAGATTTTACGTTTGAAGTATACCTACCATTCTCAAAAAAACAACAATAACTTTATACCTAAGTATTGAAAAAAAAACATATTACCTATGTACCTGTCTACCTACATGATTTATCCCGCGACTCATTTATAATTAATTAACGGAAAAAAAAAATCGACAAGGATTGACCATTCCAGTACAGATGAGATGACTTTACTATGACAATTTGCTCTGGGGGGCACACATAATCTAATAATATAACTAAAAATTACAATTTTGGCATTTTCCGATAAGATTTTAACCTAGGAAACTTCAAAATTTACAAAAAAAATATCGGTTTCCCTCAGCCTGAGGAATACTGGAATGGTCAATTGTTTGTACCTGTGTGGAAAACGAAACGACGAAATATCAGCTTGTAAATCAAGTATCGAAATGGCTGAATTTTGTAAAAAAATAGCACACATGCCAGGTTTTTCAAAATAAATATTCCTAATTCTAAACGACCAATAATTTTCCACTTACTAGATTCATTAGTCTGCTATTAACAGGGGCAGCTAAAAATTCACGATTCACAAGTCAAAGCATACAAGCCAAGCACTACGCAATCACGGGCACATTGTAGACCGGCTATCAACAACGACTAACGAAAATGGATCGCAATCGATGAAGATGAAGGCGATCGGCACGACGCGTGCGTGGTTCAGCCACAGGCAGCACCTGATTGGTTGGCCGGTCTGTGATTTCAGCACTCCATGTTGGTTACACAAGCGCGGGAAATATACAATTTTTGAATTTTAATCAATTATTGCTCCCTTTTCTTTCAAATGAAAACTGAATGGGACATAAAATCACTAGAAAAAAAGGCACGTCGAGTTATTATTCAGTGTAGGTAACATATTTTCCAAAACAAATGAAAATTTCGATGGGGTATTAAAAATACTCATAGGATATAGGATAGGTTGGCATGGCAATGGCGATGGCAACTGACAAATAAGAGAAAAGTATTTCGGTCTGAGGTGAAGGGGGAGGAAAAAACGATATGGAAATACACAGTTACGATGGAATAGAGCGTGATAGAAATATTAGTTCGCATGTTTGCCGCCTTCCTTTGAATTTTCATTTGTCGCTGGTCGCTCCTATACTTTGATTATACAAATATGATAAACTATAAACTATCTCATGCCCGGATTTTCAGTAAACTTCTGACAGGAAGATAATACATGGTATACTGCCTCAGTTAGTTAATCATAACGGGATGATTTACCCCTTATCGTGAGTAAAATGTAAAAGAATGTTGTGTATGGCCATATAATATAACAGGTATAATAAACAAGTATATATTTATATTATTATATACCCATAATGTACCCTACTTTTCCGTCTACCATAGACATATATTTTTAAGTAAAATTTTATTGGATGTAATACGTCTATTAAATACTTTTAAAAAATCATGGTGTTGAAAAATGAGCGTTTCGTCAAATTTAACAAAATAGTGACATTGTTTATTAACAATTAACTGCTAATTTTCGTGACAGCATATCTAGTTTTCCCAAATCTACACTTGCTGGTAATAAAGTAGTATATGATATATGTTTATTTAAGGCCTACAAATTATACGTTGACGATAAATCATTTGTAAACGTTTAATAAATATTACCTAAAAATGGTTGATTATACTTATATTATACAATTAATCAAATTTATGTTTTGCTTGGGAAGGAATGCGGGCAAAACGCTCCTGATTGGCGCGAGATTAAATATACATATACGCAAGTCGTCGCGTCAGGGTAACCGCAATTTTCGTAATGCACCACGTCGGGGACGTCGCGTCGTATAATATAGATTTTCGTCTTCCCCTCTGCTACTTCATACGTTACCAAGGTTCACTCAGTTGTCGCACTTTATATTGGCACTGCCTATAACTTTCAGTACCATTTGCACCCGATACTAGGGTGGAAATATTCATATCATATTTTCATATCGTATTATTTTATTTTAATTTAACTTGAACCTCCGATTTTTGTATAAAAAGTAGGTATGAATTAAACAGAAGGATTATATTTTTTGAGTAAATTGTCTCCTGACATCTACCATAGCCAATGAAAATAGGATTCAATTAATTTTAACACATTTTGTATTGAAGTTTACCTTTTGTGAAAGAATTTCTATTTACTCGGATTTTTGGGTAGCCGCATACCCGCCACTGTATTTCGGATACCAGTCATAGGATCATCTTGGGCCCATGAGAACTTTTGATCAGAAGATCGAGATCTACAATATACCAAAATTCCATCAAAATCCTGGATTTTTTAAAATCCCATTTAAAGTCTGCTTCATCCTTTGGAGGATTAATAATTTTGGTCCTGGGGGATTCAAACTCGCGTCCTCAGCATTGCCGGGTGCGATGCTCTCACGAACTAAGCCACCATGACCCTACATATCTTTTTGTGTGTGGGTCTATTGGAGGATTGAAAAGTTTGGCGTTAAGCGGAGAACCTCGCAACTTCCTCTAACAGCACCAAAACAAAAATCAAAAAGATCTGTAGGGTCATGGTGGCTTAGTTGGTTAGAGCGTAGCATCGGCAATAATGAGGACGCGGGTTCGACCAAAGTTTTTAATACTCCAATTTTCCTCAACTTTGTCTTGATTTTCAATTTCCACGCTTCTCGATTGTTGTAACCGACAAAACTTCATTCCTTTCAAAAATTTAATTTAGGCTGGATGAAGTGTAATGCAAAATTTATGTGATTCAGATTGGGAATAGCTTTTTTGTAACAAGTTATAAATGAGCGTGCTTTTTGCACTAAATGTGGTGGTCCAACACATTGTGTGCAAAAAACCAGCCAATTTGTGACGTGTTTCATACAAGATTTTTTGTGATTCATTCAAAATATTCAAAATTCAAAATATAAACTCATTTCGACACTGACACGAGACGCATTCTAAATTCCATTTCAACACTCGGTGATGAAATGAGATCTCACTGCCTATTTTGGAGTTTGTGTCAAAATGAACCACTTTTGACAGTTAAAATTAATGTCGCAAATATGCCATTCCGTAAACTGAATTACACAAATGTAGTTTGATTGATGGTTTGACGTGTGAAGTCATGTGGCAAATGTAGCATGCACAGAATGACTCGAATTCTTATTTGAGGTGTTAGGTATACTTTTTTGTATGGGATAAATTGCTCGTGAAAAACGTGCTATTTTTCTCGCTTTTGTTGCACAATATACTATGCATAAGGCATAAGGTTTTTCAAACTTACCCTACGAAGCCTTTAACACAATGACCGGCCGTCTCAAAACCCATTTCGCCAATAATGGATCCACCGCAGAAATAAATATTATAAACATCGTCAATTAATTGAACCTACAATGGAAACAATAATTATATCAAAATTTATACATGTCATTAAGTGCGAGTGATATACAGCTTTCGTACGGTTGCATAGCATTATATTTTACATTTGTTTGCCTTTTCAAACCATTTTTTTTTTCTTGAGATCGACGTTTTTATTTTTTCAATAATTCTATACCAGCATTTGAATACAATAATAGTACATTATACACCTAGGGACTAAAGTGGTACTTTTAATCCCGAGACAAAAAGTTTATAGCCCGACCGAAGGGAGGGCTATAATTTGTCGAGGGATTAAAAAACACTTTAGTCCTGAGGTGTATACACTATTTTATGCACTTTACTTTATTTCCCGGGGATTAAATAAAACAGGGAATAAAAGGGTACTTTTAATCCCCGGGAAATAAAGTAAAAATTTAATCCCCGGAAATACAGTAAAAATTTAATTCCCGGGAAATAAAGTGAAATTTAATCCCGGGGATTAAAAGACCCACTTTACTCCCTCGAAACAGGGATTAAAAGGGTACTTTTAATCCCGGAAGTGCATAAAATTATTTGTATATATGTAGGACCTCTAGAGATCGCCAGAGCGCAGGAAAGGTACCTAATTTTATTTAATTTTTTTTGATCAAAATAAATCGATCTTGGATTAAGTGGGTTGAAAACAACTGATTTAAGATGATTTCCAGATAACTCTCGGCTGTTCGGTATCTGCGGGCATAAAGGATCACTATACCCTATCCTTGCTTTTGTCCACAGTATTAGTTTACGTTTTTGCTATACTAAACACTTTTACAATTACAATTTCGATTTGTATTTTTTGGATTCTTTGTCTTCATTGATTTTGATAAAATGGAAAATCCTTTGGAAAAGACTGATTTTCAAAACATAGGTGGGCTGATAAGTGAAATCGGAATGACAATAATCAGATAATGTGTCAGCTAAGCACTTTTACCCGGCTTAGAGCAGTATTATTAATGATTACAGCTAATACAAGTGGAATAACCTTAGATAACTCCTTTTGAAGATATTTCATGTCTACTTCAAGTTATCACTGGCAGCGAAGATAGGATGCCACGAGCAATTAGATGCCTCAATCAATACCGGGAAGGAGATCTGAGGATTCTAGGAGATTTTGAGATCGACAACCGCGCGTGGCTAATCTCAGCTGGTGTAGGCACCGTGGTGGAATGGAAGAAAAAGCAATGTTGTTAAATTAAACAGGATTTGGCATTAGCATGCATTAGTGAATCGATAAATCACCGCACCGGCGGCATTGTACCATTTTGGTGAATTTAGCCGCACACACGATGATAACTACCTAAGAGGAGAGAATAGAAATAAGAATTATTGGAATATGAGAAGAATTGAAGCAATATTTTCTAAATGCTGAACTAGTGTAACCTCTTCCTTCAATTACTTAACAAGAAGTCCATGATGTGCTTAGCTCACTAAGTGGATAATTAGGTGTGAGTCAATAGTGTGTACAGAATGAACAATCATAGGGCGCTACTGAATTTATAGGAAAAGCAAATTGAACTTTGAAAAAATGATAAAAGAGATACCTAGGTAATCCGGTAATAGAAAATATTACTTCATCCTGAACCACCTCTTGACGTAGGTAGGTAGGTAACCATTAAAACATTAAAATAAAACAGCTAAATTATTTTTTCTACAAACGTGTTAAAAATTAAATATCAAATTTTGAAAGCAAACCACAAAAAAAGCAAACCACAAACTCGCATTTTCATCAAAAAGCACTACTGACCACGTCAGACTTTCAAGAAACTGACAGGAGCTTTCAAATTGCCCGTAAAAAAAAAACAACAGTGGTTGTTTGCAATTTGTAACTGGTTATTGCTTTTTAATGCCATTTGTAGAAAAAATATTGCATCATATTTGTGTTAATAGTATATTGTTTTATTAGGAGTAAAAATTATACATTTTGTAACGAGACTAAATGTTTGATAATTTCAGGCGAGCCACGAAAAGTGCTTTTCTCCGAATAAAACATGCGAATTTTTCAGCAAATGGGGTTCAAATGATGGAATCAAGGAAATAAATATTCTCAAAAAGGATTAGATGTAGAATAACGTAGATTTGATTGCTGTGCTTACTGGTTTTGTGGTTGTCAAGGTTAAATTTCTGTGACGACACTGTTTTGTCCGGCCGTGAGCGTACAAAAAAGTACACTTTTTTGTACGCTCAAGTCACGGCGGGTTTACAGAATGGGCCACTTTCACATTTTTCAAAAACATATTTAAATTATTCTTTTAGTCATTCTTATACTATCTGTATACTTTTTTTCCGAAAAAAAACGCTTATTTTTGAAAAAAAAATTATTTAAAAATCGAATTTTTAAACTGGCGCGAAAACGCGAACTTGGTTTGTGACTTCACAAACCAGAAAATCAACAAAAATGCGAGGATGCCAAATTTCTTATTAGTAAATCATTACACATTTCACTAGCTAGAAACTATTTCCGTCCTTTACTACATAAAAAAAAATAAAGGATAGGTATACCTAATCCTTATTAACTCATTTAAATTTCGCATTTCTACATTTGGCAACAAAAACGTCAAAATCGGCTTTAGCCAATCAGAGAGCGTTTTCAATCATGTGATTTTCCGTTTAAATTTGTAGTTTTTATTTATTAATTTATTTAATAATCTGACTAAAATCTTGCAAAATATTGTTCATTCTCGGTTGCATTAATGTATCTGCGTCAAAAAATATCATAATTTGCCATATTCCCGGCACCTGAAAGTGGCCCATTCGCTTCGCTCATTCTGCAAACTTTCACATGCGTGCCTTAAAAATGTACTTTTAACACTTATATCATACTTAAATAACTATTAAAATAAATACTGTATATTTCCGAGGATTCCAGATACGAATCTGAGGCATAAAAAAATCAATCATCATTGTTATAAAAAAACTTGAATCAGGTGATTATTAGTTTTGATCTTCAAAACTTAAAAGTATAAGTACCACTTTATACACACTCTCTATAAATACTTACATTAGTTCAGGTACACATTTGTTAGCCATGTCACTAAACTAAGTTGATAACTACTAGATTGATACATTTTATTTTCGATAAAAAATAATAACGTTGTTCCTATTTTAGTTCGATAAGAACTATAATAGCATCAATCAAACTACCATGTAAGGGAATTCTCCATCCTCTGCGTCCGTTCCTTTCACAATTCTGAAAGGCGGGTGTTGGGGTTTGGTAGTTACTACTAAAAAAATTGAGACAAGTTCAGAATAGAAATTTAAAGCTGAAAAAAAAATATGTATTAAAATTTCAATATTCTCACCTTTATTGACAATTACAGCAAATATTAGAGATAAACCAATAGTACCTAACTTCATGTTTGCTATTAAGTAGCATGATTTCCAAATTTTTAATTTTTATATTTTGGAAAAAATACTTGAAACTGCAACACATGCATTATGCATCTTATCCCATCTGGCCTTTGTCTGAATGATAGGTACTCACTACTAACTATATCACTGAAAAATGCTTAGGTACTGATATCAATATGTTGAAATTTTACATAAGCAGTATTGAGTAGAAATACCGGCCGAAAAATCTCTTTATTTAGTTCCAGTAGGTTAATCAATAAAATAAGATGAACCTTAGTTTTGTGTTCTTCTTGAGTTGCATTCAACTCATTACTGTGATTATGTGGAACATAGATTGAAACATTATCATTGATATTATTATTTGATGAGTGATATAGAACCGCTTTGAGTTAATCCAATTTTCAGTTGAAGGATCTTGGGCAATGAAGGGTCCAGGCAAACGGTCAGGGACTGTGGAGGGTCCAGACTGAACAGTGAGTGGCTTCAGTTCTTCAACTGAAAAAAAAAAAAAAAAAAATTGAATGATTAGGTAATAAGGAGAAAAACTGATCAGTGAAGATGCAAGATGTTGCGAAATATACCTACTGCTTCGAACAGTGGTGCGGCAAGGGGCTCGAATCCTCTCATATATCTAAATTGTCTTAGATGTTGAAGCACGATCCTTCACATTGCTGTTACAGTTTTGTGCAGAATTTGTTTGAAATATATGTCTTGCATTTGCAGGATTAGTGAATTCAGCAACGAATGATACGAGATCTGAATTTTTGGAGATGGTCTCCAGAATTTCAACTTTGCTTCTAAAGCTAATATCGCTCGTGAGCAAATCAAAATCAACTATTAGTATTAGTGGGAAGTTTTGTGCATTTCAACTTTATATGTATGAATGAATGAATGAGATAGGGGTATTGTTTTACTGCGACCTACATAGATCTTCTTTTGCACCCCTGTCCTGGGTGCTTGATAGGATTTTCACTTAAGGCACCTCATCCAGCTTTAAAGCTTTTATGAAAACAAGAAAGCTGGATGGTTCTATAACGGAGCAGCATCTAAAGCAGGCAATTCGTTTGTTTACCATCGCCTCGCACTCCGTGAGAAGGTGTTCTGAAGTTTCCTTCCCTTCCTCATAGAACCGGCAGCTGTCTTCGTTTTCGATTTCAATTCTCTCAAGGTCCCCTGTTAACCGGCAGTGGCCTGTAAGGAATCCAGTGAGAATGCTAAGATTGTTTTTACTCAGTTATAAGGTCTTCTGATCTCCCTTGATGAAGGGACCGAAAAAACATTTTTGATTGCCATAACCCTAAAAGCTGTTCCCAGAAGCTGATTCATTTGATCCACTCTTCTTTTCTGTACGCTTCCTTATAGGTATGCGTCCCTATGCCACAGAAAGGCTCTGGTCCTGAAATCAGAGTCTGGTGAAATTGGGACCACAATTTCTCCAATTGGTCTGCCTTCTCATTACCTGCGATCCCTGCTTGTCCTGGTATCCACTAGAAGAATAGTTCGTTATTTTTGCCCAGTTTATTTAATTTGCATTCCCAAACCATTCTTAGTGAGCTCGGCGCTTTGATGGCTGCTTGACTGTCTAAGAATATTACAATCTCTATCTTTTTGTAGTTTGTCAAGACTGAACTGCGAAAATGTCGCATGGTTTTGGTTATGAAGCTGACCTTCTATTAGGAAGCAAATTTCAAATTCGGATTCAGCACCCCACGGAACATAAAGAACTAAAAAAGAACTTCTACAATCTTGTTAGGAACCGGCAGTTTTGAACACCAATTGACTGGATTATATTAGGAAGGAGACTTTGAATAAAAGCATCAAATTCCAATACAAAATAAATATTTACTGAAAAAACTTTTTAATAAGAAAGGGCATTGTGAACAACAACTGCATCTAGGGGAAAATGTATTTTTGTCTACAACTCAAATACGCTTTTGGCCATTGTCAGTTATGACTTTTATCAGAAAAATAATTCAAGATTATGTATATTATATAATTATCGATCTATAACGTTCTACGTCTTCCGATTCCCGAACTCCAAACATCGCTGTCATTTTAGGCAACCGCCTCCGATCCTCTTGGTCTCTGATTTCCTCGTGTACTCCATTTCTCCCGCGGCTTCTCGTTATGCCGCGCCTTTTTCTTCCACCTGGCTTCTACATAATGATGTGTTTGGGTGTTCGCGTACCATTCGCCTAAATTGAAAAAGGATAAATCACATGACAGGTGGGAGAATATAACCAACATGGAATCTATCATTGGAAAATAGTTATTTTTATACCTAGAGCGCGAATACAAATTAATGACCTCCTTTTTTTTTATTAAATTATTACTGGGTTCTGGCAATGCAGAATCATTCAGCGGGTATTCAGCGCTTGTTGCCTATTTGACTAAGATTGCAGTGTCAGCATTTATCATCACTATCACTTTTATGTTAAATGCCATGATGCATCATTCCCATTTTTCAAAAGTTATCGTGGACAAACCACATTGTATGAGCTGGTTCGCCAATTAAATGTTCAATGTGGCTTCAATCAGAAATTAGGAATATAGTTTCACTTTCCGCGGATTCCAATTCCGCACAAGCAACAGCATGTCACATTTATGAAAATCTCTTTACGAGGAAGGACGCTGATGATGGTAAGATTGTTAATGAACATGTTCATTACACTGGTGAATCTAGAGGATTTGCCCACTCAATTTGCAATTTACAATTTCGTAAATATATTCATAGTTCCTATGGTCTTTACAATCTCTGAGGCTACGATGGCCATTTCCCAATTAGGGAAATTAGTAAGCCATCAAAAGTCTTATTATTTTTTTTCAAAAACGAAAGTTTCGTGATCTAACAGTAGACATCAGTCCGGCTTTGTTTGTATTGTCTCGTTGCGGCCCGTTTATTCCGAAAATACAGAGAATTTGATTGGTCGATAGGCCTTGAATTTCGGTTTGCAATCCACGGGGCGGACACTGAAAAAATTATTTTGTAAATTTACTTACAAAATCACTGGCAAAAAATAACCAATGATTTTGTAAGTAAAATTACAACGCTATTGTAAAATTACATAAACTCTGTGATTTCATTTTTGTAAATTTCCAAAAGGATTGTAATTTTTAATAATATTTTTACAAAAAAAACTTGTGAATTTATATTTCAAATTTACAAAAAATTCGTAGTTTTATTTATTATTTCTACATAAATGTTGTAAGTTTGAAATATTTCTGTGAAAATGTATTGTAAAATTACAAGCATGTAAATTTACAATGTGCGGATAAATTTACAAATAGATGATGTCTCTGGATGTTCCATTTTCTTGTTATCTTCCAGCTATTACGCCATAAACCTGAAAATTATAGTTTTGAAAAAATATGGAAAACACTTTTATGTAGGTATAACTTTTTTCATGATAAACACTGGAAACACAAAAGCGAAAATAAAACAGTCTAAACTCCGTTATCACAAAAGAAAAATAAGAGAGGCGCATCATATGGTCAACTATAAAAATCTATATACTTAAATAAATAACATAATAAAGTTAACCTAATACTATAATATAGATATGAAGGTATAAAAAATTATAGGTACAGGGTTTTCGTCAGAAAGATGGTGTCAAAACTTTACAATAAATATTCAACTCGAAAAATTAATTGTAATATGTTTTAATATTGTCAATTCATATTTTCAATATTATCGTTATTTTGACTGGTTTAATGGTTTACTCATGACTGGTAGATGATGCAACTCACAACTGCCACCTCCTTTTGCTTGGGCTCATAAAGCAAAAAGAGGCTAGGAGGGAAGGTTTGGTGACGCTATCTGAAAATGGTGATAATTGTAGAGCTTAATCGTTTGTTACTTAAACCCACAAAAATTGAATTCATACGTGGTTAAAAAGTTTAAATAATTAACGGGTACTTACCCTCAATTTAAATCATTCAAAATCAAATCTTCAACTCTCAACACATCACATTTACTCGCCACCAACCACTTTGGTGTTGTCTGTTGAATAACCTGCATACCATCATAGCAAGACTGTTGTTAAAATCAATATTATCCACTGATAATTTTCCAAATAATTTCAGAATTTTACAAATATTTATGCTAAATAATTAAAAGTTTTGCTTCAATGCATCGCTATTTTTTAAAATCACAGAATTGTTGTAAGTTCATATTTTAATTTTACAATGTGATTTGTAAAAAAGCAACTTCATTGCTAAAATTACAATATTTATGGAAAATCCTTGTGAAATTATGCGTGTACTTTTACAAAAAATTGTAATTACGCTCTTTTTCCTGTCTTTTTGTAAAAAGTTTGGCAGTTTACAGTTATTTTGGTGAAATGTTCATGATTTTGCTTGCTTTTTTTTATGTAAAATTACTAAACATCATTGTAAATTTACTAACATTTTTTTCAGTGTATAGAACTCCTATCATTATTCAGCTTAATACCGAGCAAGAATGGAAGTATTATTTGATGTTCGAAGAGAAAAGTATTACCTAAGTTCCTTGAGACTAACAGCAATAACAAGAGATAAATAAATAGTACCGACCACCTTATTTATCTTTGATAGACGTATTTTCCTTAGTAGACATACAAAAATTGCACAATGATTTCGAAATTTATATGACTTTCATTTTTGGAAACAATAGTACTTGAGACTGGCATTATTGATGTTTCTTATCGAATCGAACGAGATCATTATCGCTAGCTTGAGAAGCACTTGAACACATTTTTCAATCCACAATTATATAAAAAGTTCTTGGCATTGAAGGCTTACCAAAATTTCTACTCAATATAAAGCAAGTGACATAATCGTCAGACGTAATCAACACAATAAAGAAAACTAGAATTTGAAAAATCTATGAGTAGGGGAAAATAACCATCGTCAAACTCAAAAGCAGCAACTTGAAAGGACAACAAACCAGAGAATAAAAGAAATTATGAAGGAAAGACTTAACAATAAAGTAGATGATGTTAACACGTTGACTGCCGACCATATTTTTTGAGGCGCATAACCAACTTAAACACCTGCTGGACAAATGCATTTAGAAGGACGCCGGAGCGATTACGACATTTTCTCGCCAACGCCTACTGAA